ATTTACCAATGATCTAAGACGTCATATACTTCTAGAGGGTCTCAATGGGGTTGACCGATAGCCATGAAACAGCCACAAAAAATCTAACCATTACGCATACAAATTGTCAAATTTTAACCTTTATTAGTAAAAAAAATTAAACCTCAAGAAAAATTTATGGTAGCAAATCATGGAATGAGCTGTTAAACATTTCTGGTAACAACTCATGGAATGATGTTAACCGTTACTCGTAAAATGGCCAAAAATTTAACCGTTAGCCGTAAACGTCACCCCATTGAAACCCTCCTTTTACTCCAGTGAGCCCATAATTCTCAAATGCGACTTGTTTGGCTTTGGCTGTGTAGCATTGGAAAATGAAATTCCCACGAATTTCCAAAAATCAGGTAATGTTGACATCAATACTAAATTAAACGGGATGCAAGCTGGTCAATTGTTTGTTATTTTTCAAAGACAAGGAAGAACCTAAGCCATATATCATTTTTATCATTCAAATCATCGCTTGGTGTTAATGCCCTCTAGTTGCAAGTTTCTTGCGATTGTCTGAGGAAAAGAGGAAACAAAAAGGTTGAACAGCGCGAATTGCCGTTGGGAGTTTTCAGGAAAGTCCCTTCCGGATGCGCGGATCTTACAACGTAACTGTCCAGTCCATTTCCTCCACCTCTCTCTCCTTCTCAAAAGAAATATGAATAACTATTAAGTATAACTATTGATTATTACTGAAAGTCAAGCTACCTCCTCATTTACTTGTTGCCATATTTCAGTCATTGGATTAACGCCTTCAAAGGTAAGACCAGTGATGTGGTTATGTTCGAGCAAATTACCGATCCACTCCGTCCGTTTTCTTTTTTTTTTTTTTTTATCTATTATATCAGTTACTATTTTTGTCTTCGATCATGCAAATCACACCCGCAAGAAAATGAAAAGTTCACGTGTACAATGGGTCAGTTTTTACGCACAGATAGCTTACTGTTTAAAGACAGAAGATAGCTTTCGTTGTCGCTCAATCTTATCGATCTCGTGATGCAAATCCTAACGAACTAAAAGGGATGAACACTGAAGCCTGACGTTTTCGGATAAACAAAGTAAGATGTGTCATTTTTGGATGCTCAAATCCATCATTAGTTAGAAAAGATAGATAGGTAGATAGATAGATAGATAGATAGATAGATAGATAGTTTATTATCAAGAACCTTGCAGCCATAGGCTGAATTACGTTTGATTTACAATAAAATATATACTACAAAAAATCACTAAGTTTTTTTAAAAAGTATTTTTAAGGCAATTCGATCATTGCAAATAGTGATCACAAAACTAGAAAAATGAAAAAAAGAGTCATAATGAGTCCATTATCAGAGAGTCACTAAGTTTTTTTAGTATTTTTGGCTTAGATCAAAAAACCCGCTAGAAAATGAAACTTAATGAGAATCGATCTTGTGTTAAAAAGAAAATCGATCTTGTGATGAAAATCACACCTTTCAAAGGGGTAAACACTAAAGCCTGACATTTCCTATTAAAAAAAGAATAACGCCTTTCATTTTCCACGTTCAATTACATCGTGTGTGATAAAAGTTTGACGTACAAAACCGAAATACCGTGTTCTTATTGACTGAGTGGTAGGGCCGGAAGGAAAATTATTTGGCTCGGGGTCACGACCTATGGACCGAGCGCAGCGAGGCTCAAGATTCATGACCCAGAGCCAAATATTTTCTCCACTGGCCCCACTAAATTCGGTCAATAAGTATTTTATCATATGACCACTGACCGTTTTCAACGTTAATGGAAGCGATAGACGGGCATACGAACGCACAAAAAATATGCAATTTTATTTCGAGTAGCCTAGAGCGGGAGGGGAATAATCGAAAACACACGTGATCTAGATACCTGAAACGCCGTGACAGCGGAAGTTCGGAAGGTTGAGAAAAGTGCGGAGTGTAATTCATTATTTTTGTTGTTTCATTTTGAAAGCATCAGCCATATTGTCAACATCTTGGTAAGTGCGATTGAAAATCTTTTCTATTCACTCGGTTTTTATCAGCCTTAGTCATTTAGTAACTGTAGAGAGGTAAGGCTCTCATGGCAAAGCCCAGTAGCTGCTTTTTCGAGCTTTGTTTTTGCAATATGTAGTTATGTCTCGTTTCGAGCGTTAGCCCTTCATTAAAGCGGTTGATGGCGCGATTGAATCGCCACCACAGTGAAATAAATTTGTTATCCAGCAGTCTTCTCAAATCTCTGTAGCTTTATACCGTTTAATTTATCCTCATTAACTAATGTTATTGAGTATCGTTCAATTTGAGAAATTGATGATCATAAAACTAAAACCAGACCTTTATTTATGTTGTGGACTGTCCCTTGCTGAAGGAAATCCGTGGTGCTTGATCAGGTGGTTTTCCAGTGGCTATGACTCTACATCAGCTATCAACTTGAATCTGTTTAGGAGGGTTGAACGAACGATTCAGAGATCGCGCTAGATTCGAAATGCCTTATTTCTACTTGTACACAAGCGTTTCATTGTCGAAATACCCTTCACTTAAACCTTTGGATACTAACGGCGGGTTCTGCGGTACAAATTTTTCTAAAGCCGTAATCTGTTTCTTTTTTTTCCGTTTAAGCGCCAGAGTCTCGCACAGGAAGATAAGTTGTGAGGCTGCACGCTCACGAAAAGAGATGTGTCAGCAGAGGTGGTCCAAGTTCACGTCTCGAGAAAAAGCAAACGATTAATTCACGATAGCGTCACGGGTTGTGTGACTTATGTGTTAAGTTATGAGCGTTGAACACGTTATTAAGAATAGAATGGGGAGCGAAATGTGGTCGATTTATCACGAGAAATATTTCGAGAAATCAACATTTAACACGTAAAATCAATAAAAGTACACACATCTTGTGATTTCTGCCGTTTTAAGCTTACTTTGCCATCGCTGTTATTCCCATCCCCACAGTGACACCTCGCATTAATCTATCGTCCCAATCAACCAAGCAGACAGCTGTCCCCGTGACAGGTCTGCAATTCCTGATCCATAATAGGAATGCACGATAGAAGCGGCACCAGGATCGTGCTATACCACTGGAAAATACCCCAGAAACCTTTTTCCAGCCGCTCGAAAATTGTTGATGACTTCCCTTACTACAGTAGACTTACTAGTTCCCCCCTTGGGCAGTCACTAAAAAGTTATGACCCTTACAAGCCAAGCATACAATCTCCGCCCGTCCGTGAGATAAGTGAACGCTCATATTGACGACATGCCAAATATAATATTATGAATATTATGGAGAACGAGTTGTTACAGGAAGAAAAATTATGAAATAACATAATGAACATCACTTGACGATATGCGTGCTCAAGGAATTGGCTGAACTAATAGAAATTTTATTGTCCTTTACAATGAATTTCCGGTGACTAAATAGACATTAACACCAACATAACTGTAAGGGGGTAGATTAAGGGTAATTCGGCCAAATCTTGCGGGCTTTTCTTTTTATCAGAAGTTTAGTGACATCACCTTGGAAAGGTAAATGCAATCGACGTTAGGGCATCATGTGGACAATTATATTTACTATATTCGTTTTCAGGGACATTCGTCTGATAAATGCGCTCATTGCTTTTAAAATGAACAATCTTTGCAAACGTTGCCATATTCCCGAATGTCAATAACTTACAACTGTGATCATCTCGGTAATGAACCAAAAGAACGGTGTTTCAATAAAATCGAGCGTGAGAATTTCCAGTACAAACATTTTGGACGGTACATTATTTAAACTGTCGAATAGTTCTCGAGAAAACTGGAGCAAATTTCTCATTAATCATTCTTGTATTATTCATGAATAAGAAATAAAATACATTGATTCTTAGGGTCTGCATTGCACATACGTTTTGACAGCCGGTTTAATAAAATCAATAAACTAAGAATGGTGAAACTAGAACTTATATTGTAGACTATTCCTTTCTAATTCCTTTCTGATATCTTTTGATTTCCATGGATTTTTCATTAGCTGAATTTGCATTTTATTCTTGTCTTTTTTGCTTGTTTTTAATCAAAGCGAATAATGCCTCAAAAATAAAGCCGTGGCGTTGGCGTGCCCGCGGTACAGTTGACCACGCATGTTAAAAGAAGCACCTTGTACGGTCGTACGGTCGTACATCCAAATTTTTTCGGCTTGATGGGCTACTACTATTTTGCATAATTTTGGGGCTACGCTCTGCGAGCTCCGCTACTATTTACGACAGTGACCCAGTGAGTTAAGTCTAGTTTCTACGGTTCGCTTACCTGCGAGTTAACAAAGTTGATGTACTTCAACACGGAAGCTGAGTCAGTTCAGTAGTAAACTTGGTCTGCTGTCATTTCCAATTCTTCTCCAATAATTCTGGAGAGCCTTACGCAGATAACACTGACTGTCAGTTCCAATATTGGAATTGAAATTTCATGTATGGGACTTGCCTTTTCCATGACAAATGCACAGTGAACTTGGTTAATGACATTATTCAAACGGAAGTAAACGACGGCTGAAATTCATTATCATGGCCAATTTACATTGTCAACTCAGTTGGTAAAGCCAAATAGTTTTTTAATACCCCACCAAAGTTTCTTCAATAACTTACCCCGTTGTTTATAGAAACTATGCATGTGGTAAGTTCTAATTGCAAAATTTAAGATAAAATCTGTCAGTTTTTTTTATCTTTGTCCAATGACTTTAAAGTCATGTAATGTTCTGCAAAAATCCCAACTTGAGGAAAATGAAAGGTGACCAACCGACTTCTTCACTTTTTTTTTTTTGTTTTTAAGTGGATATTGGGAATTCTAACACTTTCAGCTTGTTACAAATAGTTTCCGGGTGTAATCGACCCGGCCCGTTTTTGTAACTTAGCATGTGTGTTCCTGTTTGAAGTGACTCGTTATTAATCAAGATTATCGACCATTTAGTATTGTGTTACTAAAAATAATGTTTCCCTGATAACAGGTGAGGATTGCAATGGCAACCTAACAGCAAAAGCCATGACACCTTTCATGAGTATCGCTTTATTTGTTGCCCTGTTCTTGCTCAACTCAGATCGCATTCAGAAAGCCATTGAGATATGCAGCGAATGTTTGATTTTGCTAAATGGCACCGATCAAAACAGCAAAGACCAATTTGAGTCAGCACTGCTACAATTTTACAGCGACATCTATACCGTACTTTTCAGCGCTTATCGTCATATCTCTGACTACATAAGTGCGGAAAGATACGGAAGGAAACTGTTTGACTTATACACAGGGTATGGATTTATGCTTTATAAACTTGGCGAAAGCCTAAAAGCAAAGGAATATGTTGAGAGGGCCCTTGCCATAACAACCAAAATTGGCGACAGAGAAGGGGAAGCATCATGTTATGGAAACCTAGGTACTGTGTTTAGGTCGCTTGGCCAATACGACAAGGCTGAAGAGTATCTCCAAAAAGCGCTTGTCATCAGAACTGAAATTGGCGACAGAGGAGGGGAAGCATCATGTTATGGAAACCTAGGTACTGTGTTTCTGTCCGTTGGCCAATACGACAAGGCTGAAGAGTATCTCCAAAAAGCGCTTGTCATCACAACTGAAATTGGCGACAGAGAAGGGGAGGCAACTGACTACGGAAACCTAGGTACTGTGTTTCTGTCCGTTGGCCAATACGACAAGGCTGAAGAGTATCTCCAAAAAGCGCTTGTCATCACAACTGAAATTGGCGACAGAGGAGGGGAAGCATCATGTTATGGAAACCTAGGTACTGTGTTTAGGTCGCTTGGCCAATACGACAAGGCTGAAGAGTATCTCCAAAAAGCGCTTGTCATCAGAACTGAAATTGGCGACAGAGGAGGGGAAGCATCATGTTATGGAAACCTAGGTACTGTGTTTACGTCGCTTGGCCAATACGACAAGGCTGAAGGAGTATCTCCAAAAAGCGCTTGTCATCAGAACTGAAATTGGCGACAGAGAAGGGGAGGCAACTGACTACGGAAACCTAGGTACTGTGTTTGAGTTGCTTGGCCAATACGACAAGGCTGAAGAGTATCTCCAAAAAGCGCTTGTCATCACAACTGAAATTGGCGACAGAGGAGGGGAAGCATCATGTTATGGAAACCTAGGTACTGCGTTTAGGTCGCTTTGCCAATACGACAAGGCTGAAGAGTATCTCCAAAAAGCGCTTGTCATCAAAACTGAAATTGGCGACAGAAGAGGGGAAGCATCATGTTATGGAAACCTAGGTACTGTGTTTACGTCGCTTGGCCAATACAAGAAGGCTGAGGAGTATCTCCAAAAAGCGCTTGTCATCAGAACTGAAATTGGCGACAGAGAAGGGGAGGCAACTGACTACGGAAACCTAGGTACTGTGTTTGAGTTGCTTGGCCAATACGACAAGGCTGAAGAGTATCTCCAAAAAGCGCTTGTCATCAGAACTGAAATTGGCGACAGAGGAGGGGAAGCATCATGTTATGGAAACCTAGGTACTGTGTTTCGGTCCGTTGGCCAATACGACAAGGCTGAAGAGTATCTCCAAAAAGCGCTTCTCATCAGAAATGAAATTGGCGACAGAGAAGGGGAGGCAACTGACTACGGAAACCTAGGTACTGTGTTTCTGTCCGTTGGCCAATACGACAAGGCTGAGGAGTATCACCAAAAAGCGCTTGTCATCACAACTGAAATTGGCGACAGAGGAGGGGAAGCATCATGTTATGGAAACCTAGGTACTGTGTTTAGGTAACTTTGCCAATACGACAAGGCTGAAGAGTATCTCCAAAAAGCGCTTGTCATCAAAACTGAAATTGGCGACAGAAGAGGGGAAGCATCATGTTATGGAAACCTAGGTACTGTGTTTAGGTCGCTTGGCCAATACAAGAAGGCTGAGGAGTATCTCCAAAAAGCGCTTGTCATCAGAACTGAAATTGGCGACAGAGAAGGGGAGGCAACTGACTACGGAAACCTAGGTACTGTGTTTGAATCGCTTGGCCAATACGACAAGGCTGAAGAGTATCTCCAAAAAGCGCTCGTCATCAAAACCGAAATTGGCGACAGAGGAGGGGAGGCAAATGACTACGGAAACCTAGGTACTGTGTTTAGGTTGCTTGGCCAATACGACAAGGCTGAAGAGTATCTCCAAAAAGCGCTTGTCATCAGAACTGAAATTGGCGACAGAGAAGGGGAGGCAACTGACTACGGAAACCTAGGTACTGTGTTTACGTCGCTTGGCCAATACAAGAAGGCTGAGGAGTATCTCCAAAAAGCGCTTGTCATCAGAAATGAAATTGGCGACAGAGGAGGGGAGGCAACTGACTACGGAAACCTAGGTACTGTGTTTCTGTCCGTTGGCCAATACGACAAGGCTGAAGAGTATCTCCAAAAAGCGCTTGTCATCACAACTGAAATTGGCGACAGAGGAGGGGAAGCATCATGTTATGAAAACCTAAGTACTGTGTTTACATCGCTTTGCCAATACGACAAGGCTGAAGAGTATCTTCAAAGAGCGCTCGTCGTCACAACTGAAATTGGCGACAGACGAGGGGAAGCATCATGTTATGGAAAACTAGGTACTGTGTTTACGTCGCTTGGCCAATACGGCAAGGCTGAAGAGTATCTCCAAAAAGCGCTTGTCATCAGAACTGAAATTGGCGACAGAGAAGGGGAGGCAACTGACTACGGAAACCTAGGTACTGTGTTTACGTCGCTTGGCCAATACGACAAGGCTGAGGAGTATCACCAAAAAGCGCTTGTCATTAGAACTGAAATTGGCGACAGAGAAGGGGAGGCAACTGACTACGGAAACCTAGGTACTGTGTTTGAGTCGCTTGGCCAATACGACAAGGCTGAAGAGTATCTCCAAAAAGCGCTTGTCATCACAACTGAAATTGGCGACAGAGGAGGGGAAGCATCATGTTATGAAAACCTTGGTATTTTGTTTACGTCGCTTGGCCAATACGACAAGGCTGAAGAGTATCTCCAAAAAGCGCTCGTCATCACAACTGAAATTGGCGACAGAGGAGGGGAAGCAGCAGCTCTTGGACACCTTGGAATTGTGTTTAGTACTGTTGGTAATTTTGAAGCTTCGGAAGTATGTTTGGAGAAAGCTTTATTCATATCCAGAGATATTGGAGCTGGAAGAAAAGAGTTCGAGATCCTTGAAAATTACGTCGTTTTGTATTTATATCAATATAAAATCAAAGACTCTCTGTCGTGTCTTCATCTGTGCATTGAAAAGTATGAGAAGCTAAGATATTTCTTGGGCGCCAATGATCAGTTCAAAACATCATTTCTGGAGCACACAGGAATATTTCCTTACAAGCTGCTTTGTACTTTGCTTTGTGACACCGGAAAAGCTCGTGATGCTCTTTATGTTGAGGAGTTGGGTCGAGCTAGAGGCCTATCAGACTTAATGGCAGAGAAGTACTCGGTTAAAACGCACATCTCTGCTAGTCCACAATCTTGGTTTGGCATTGAGAACATTTTAAGAAAGAAAAATAACTGCACTTGTCTGTACATTTCTTATTTTCAGAATCGTCTTCATTTGTGGATCTTAAAAACAAGTGGAGTCCTTCACTATAGAAGAGTATCACCAGAGGAGAATCTAGTTCAGGCTGGGTTGCCCAAAGATTTGTCTTTGAGTCAATTTTTGGATGATAATTTCCGGAGTCTTGGTATTTTGCCCACTAAAGATTGTGAAGATCGGTCTTTAAATACGATTAAATTGCAACCTCTCTCCCCCGCGCAAAAGAGCTCAGCAAGATTGCGACTCGTGGAGGAGGACGAGGACGAGGACGAGGACGAGAAAGTGATTTCAAGTCTATATTTGTGTTACAAAATGTTCATTGCCCCCGTTTATGATTTGCTTGAGGAGCCTGAAGTCATTATTGTTCCTGACCGCAGGTTGTACAAAGTTCCCTTTGCTGCCCTGAGTGAAAAGGAGGGAGCCGAATACTTGTCAGAGACTCATAAGATCCGTATCATTCCTTCGTTGACAACACTCAAGAACATCCAAGATAGTCCAGAGGACTATCACAGCAACTCTGGCGCCTTGATAATAGGCAATCCCAAGGTTCATTGGCTGCAACCATTGCCAGCAGCTAGAAAGGAAGCGGAGATGGTCGGACGACTGGTGGGTGTTTCGCCTCTAGTTGAAGAGAAAGCAACGAAGCAGGCGGTACTTGAGCAGATAAGTTCAGTGAGCTTGATACATTTTGCTGCCCATGGTTACGCGGAAAGAGGAGAAATTGCACTCTCCCCCATTCTTACTCCCAACAGTCAAAACGCTATCCCACCGAAGGAAGCTTACATGTTGACGATGGCTGATGTCTCAGGAGTAAAAATCAGAGCTAAACTGGTGGTACTTAGCTGCTGTCACAGTGGAAGTGGAGAGATAAGAGCCGAGGGAGTTATAGGAATTGCCCGTGCGTTCTTAGGATCTGGTGCTCGCTCGGTGTTGGTTGCGCTGTGGGCCATTCCAGACTCAGCAACAGAGAAGCTGATGAGTCGGTTCTACAAACATCTCATTGAAGGTGGAAGTGCCAGTGAATCCCTTCATCAGGCCATGAAGTGGATGAGAAAAAACGGCTTGAACAAAATGGTGGTAGAGTGGGCTTCGTTTACGCTGATTGGAGATGATGTGAGACTCGAGTTTGACAACCAGCGGCAAGACTCAGTGAGAACAGGTATTTCATAAATAAATATCATCAAGGAACATCAAGGCTAGTTTGATATCTATCTATCTATTTATATATATGTACATAAATACACACACTTTTTTTTCCTTTTTGAAGAGTTACTATTTCCGCTCTCTGGTGTAAAGTATAGAATCTCATAGATGCCTCTCTACCAATGAGATACAAGTAATAGCCAATTATTTATATATATTGTGCTTGGTGTAATTGTGTTTGCTTTATATCCAAAATGTTAATTGAGGTAATAATAAATTGGGTTATTTCAAATTTTTTCTTGCAGGAAAAAAGACCCCGATAGAGTAAATAATGACAAGAACTCGAAAGGAACAGAGTTAAAAGACTTTTAGATGGATAAATTAAATAGAAATAAGTAGAGAAAATACTCTATCCAGTATTTCATCGACATTAAAAAAAAAAAGAGCTATCCCAGGTTAGGGGAGATTTATTCCAATTTTTGCTGCTTTCTTTTCTAATATTCTGAGGAGGAGAAAATGGTTATGTACTCAATAATTTTTTGTTTTTCACGCAAAAATTATATTCTAATATAATAAGCACGAAACAATGTTGACCTACGTAAGGCTTTTGAGTAAAACGAATTCAGTAAAGTTAAGACATTAGTTTAAGTATTAAACAAACCACTCAAATCTGGTTTAATTTTTGTGTTTTCAAGCCTTTTGTAAGGTTTAGTTATTAAGAATACCTTCCATATTTGAAGAATGAATTTGATGTAGCATCTGAAGGGATCCTTGTCAACCACGCCTCTGTTTTTGTCAATATACGGGTAACTGCGGAGAGATTCGTTTATACTAACTCAACGCCTAGCAGGAGTCGTGCCGGCACGTAAACACTTTTTAAGTGGCGTTAAGATAGGATTCGCAAAAGGAGAAGCGTTGCGCATCCTAAAAATAAGTCCGAAGCACTTCACATTTAAAAAAATCGTACAGAGCTTAAAAATACGACTAAAAGAGGGGAAAGAGGATACCTGACGAACTTCTGGAGAAATACGTGTCTGAAGGTATTTGCTCCAGTAGAGAAGGATCACTTCCGGCTTTACAAAAGCTCAAGAACACGTACGCTGATGTGGAAATGTCACATTCAAAATCACATCGCCAAAAAAACATTAAGGTATATCCTGGCCAGAACTGATCTTTGGAGACAGAAATTTGAAATCGCTTGCGGATGGCGGGAGTGTCATGCGGGCATGTCAATACTTCAATTTTTAACTGGTCACTTGCCTTTTGTGCTATGCACCCTGCGCGAAGTTTGTCGACGCTTAAATGCAGAAAAATCTCTGCCAATTGGCTATGAGTTAGATCTCTGAAATATGTAAGTAATCCTTTCTTGGAATAAAGAGTTCATTTGCTGTAGAATAAGTTGATTTGTAACACCCTGTATGTAAGGAATAACAGCAAAACCAGTCACTGGTTCCCTTCCATCAAGAGCGTTACTATTTGTAACTGGTTTTTGGCAGTTATGGAGAAAAGTTTTTGTATAGCCATTTGCCTGTCATTAAGCAGAGACAAAGCTTTGTCGTGATATTGCTGTTTGTCCATAACCACAACACAATTACCCTTGTCAGCAGATAATACGAGCCTGTCCGGATTTTTTGAGTGCTATAAGCGCATTGAAAACATCCTTTTGAATGTTTTCGGGAGGAGGTTTAGATCGTGACTATGGCTGTTTGGTGTTTGCTTATTTACACCTCGTTAGAAAAAAAAGAAGACCGCTAATTAGTGATCATATAAAAGGACCTCTTGTTACAGCGTCTAGATCACCCCTGATGAAGGCATTATACAGGAGTGTCGAAACGTTGGGTCTATGAATTGTAACTTCTTCGGTTACATTCATTAAATCTGCAAACCAGAGTAGCATCAAACTATGTCTGATTGTCCACCTGGTTGCTGTGTGAACTTTAATGTATTAGATAAGAAGGCATTTGCTTACCTTGGCTCCTTTGATAACTGAACCAGTCGGCCTACAGTTGATGAAGTTCGGGATCTTTTGGTCGGTAACGGCCCATGGAAGCGCGCTTGGCTGTCATCTTCAGATCGCCTGAAAACAAGATGTCCTGCTGATTGCGCCACTTCCGAACCACTGATTCGGAAATTCCGTATTCCCTCGCTATCTCTCGATTGTTGTCAACAGCTTCGCTTCAACTACGATTTTTAACTTGAAGTTGAGATCGTAAGAATGACGGCGAGTGTTTGGCATGATTGTGCTGAATGTAGACTTCGCAAGATAATGTTCATCAGGTGAAGTAAATTTGCGACTACTAGTTTTGATGATATTTTATACTTTAAAACCATGTTTCCCTAGAGGGAAGGATAAAAATTAATATGAACCGATATATATATATTCCCTTAGCTCCGGTTGGAGCATAGGCCATTAACCAGTTCCGTCCTCCATCGGGTTCTGTCCTGGGCAAATCTTCCTTAAGTGGCCCAAGTGTGGCCCCAGTTTCTCATTTGGGACTCTACACCTCTTCTCCAGGAGTTCCTGGGACGACCCCTCTTTCTCTTGCCCTGGGGGTTCCAACGTAGTGCCTGACGGGTGATGTTGTTAGCCGGTTTCCTTAGGATGTGACCTATCCATCTCCACTTTCTCTTTGAGATCTGAGTTATGATTGGTTCCTCGCCTGCTAATTCTCACAGCATCTCGTTCGTTACCCTGTCAGTCCAACTGATTTTTAAGATTCGCCTAAGGCACTTATTGACGAAGGTCTGCAATTTCTGGGACGTTTGCTTAGTTGTTCTCCACGTTTCTGAGCCATAGAGGAGGACTGCTTTGACATTGGTGTTAAAAATTCTAAATTTGGTTCTCCGTGAGATGACATGGGAGGACCACACTTTCCTCAGCGTATTGAAAGCTACTCTGGCTTTGGTTGGCGATAGGTTGTCATTAAATGTGTGACTTTTTTTGCCTTTTGTTTATCACTGTGATTAAATGTGTGACATTTTTCGGCTTTTGTTTATGTGTGTGACATTTGCTTTTGTTTAATCAAGGCTTTTGTTTGTGCGCGTGGTCGCGTGTGCGACAATTCTGCTTTTGTTAATTAACGGTAAACTAAAATCAATACGCGACTTTTTCGCTTTTTTGTAAGTTTATGAAAGAATTTACAATAAACGTGACCGATCTTTACTCCCCAAACAACGATGCGCCTTATAACCAAGTATTTTACTATATTTGCAGTTTGAAAACATGCAATGATGAAGTTGCCGAATTGGGGGTGCGTCTCATAGCCGAGTGTGCCTTATAACCGAATAACTACGGTAGTATGGAGGTAATTACTAGCACTGATCTGGTTCTTACTTGTTCTGCACTTTTCCATGCAGACCGTTTCCTGTGAAACGATCATAATCCATGTATTTTTGTTTTGAAAGGCACCAAATTTAAAACTAAAAAGTTTAGTCCAAATGCAATGTAATGAATCACTTGCTAACTTTTCTTGCCCGAATACTACTGAGGAATATTGGCCATCCGTTGTTTTTGTAAGGAACTCAGGAAAATGTTCTCTTGTATGGCCCTCAGGCATGGTAAGAAGTTACCATTTGCAGTTATGGCTGAATTAGTCTGCTGCAAATTTACATTTATAAAATGAATGAGAGACAGTTGATTTCATTTTGATTCATATTTAATAATTTTAATAAGGTTGACGTGGCGAGCATGGTCACCACATCCACCTTGTAGGAGTGGCCTCTCCCTCCTAAGTTGAAACAATTTTTTATTTCTTTGATAGAAAAAAAATAAGAAATTAATTAAAAGTTGAGATAAGGCAATGCACTTGTTGAAAAAGGAATAACACTTTTCATTTTACATGTTCAATTACCTTATGAGTGACAAAAGAGTGCCAAATATTTTCCCATCCGACCCAACCAAACTCAGTCAATAAGCAGTTTATCATATCAACACTAACGATCATGCAAATCACACCCGCAAGAAAATGAAAAGTTCATAAAGTGGATCAATTTTCACGCACAGATAGCTTACTGTTTAAAGACAGAAGCTTAAGTTGTCGCTCAATCTTATCGATCTCGTGATGCAAATCCTAACGTACTAAAAGGGATGAACACTGAAGCCTGACGTTTTCGGATAAACAAAGTAAGATGTGTCATTTTTGGATGCTCAAATCCATCATTAGTTAGGAAAGTGTGACGTGCCAAACCAAAATAAAGTCACTAAGTTTTGTTGGTATTTTTGGCTTCAATCATGCAAATCACACCCGCTAGAAAATTAAAAGTTCACGAAGACAATGAGTCCATTATCACGCAAAGATAGCTTAGCGTTAAAAAAAAAGAAACTTAGGTTGTGCTGTGATCTATCTTGTGATGAAAATCAAACCTTTTGAAAGGGTAAACACCAAAGCCTGACATTTCCTATTAAAAAAAGAATAACTCTTCTCATTTTCCATGTTCAACTACATCATGAGCGATAAAAGTGCGACGTACCGAAATACTGAAATACTGTGTTCTTATTGATTGAGTGGAAGGGCCGGAAGGAAAATTAGGTCAATAAGCATTTTAACATATGACCACTAACCGTTTTCAATATGCAATTTTATTTCGAGTAGCCTAGAGGGGGGACGGGAATAACCTTAAACACACGAGAACTAGATACCTAAAACACTCTGACAGCGGAAGTTGAAGGTTGAGAAAAGTCCTGAGTGTAATTCATTATTTTTATTGTTTCATTTTCAAAGCATCAGCCACATTGTCAACATCTTGGTTAGCGCGATTGAAAATCTTTCCTAGTCACTCGATTTTTATCAGCTTTAGTTATTTAGTAACTGTAGAGAGATAAGGCTCTTATGGCAAAGCCTAGCAGCTGCTTTTTCGAGCTTTGTTTTTGCAATATGTAGTTATGTCTTGTTTCGAGCGTTAGCCCTTCATTAAAGCGGTTGATGGCGCAATTGAATCGCCACCACAGTGAAATAAATTCGTTATCCAGCGGTCATCTCAAATCTCTTTAGCTTTATACAGTATAATTTATCCTCATTGACTAATGT